ACGCGGGTCATAATCTAATTTGTTTTGAAATTTATAATTTCGGATTGTTCTTTTCCCTCCTCGTACCTTCGACATGCTTAGTTGGAAAAAGATAACCTAAAAGACGATTCATTTTACTGTATAAACATTCTAGTTAAAATTCGAAATTTTTTTATCTTAACACTCTAGTTAAAATTTGAAATTTTTTTATCTTAGGAAATTGCATTGTTTTCCATCTAACAATTTTCCACCTGATATTTCATACCATATAGTTGTGATTTCATCTACAGCTATTTTACTAATAAATACATGTAAACCCATCTTAAATGTATTATAACTAGAATATGAAAGAGACAAATTACTTATAAAGTTTTCAGGTGAATGTTGTTCGTGGGTCATTAGAGAGAGTTGGGAGAATTTTTTGAATTTAAAAATGTTAAAGTTAAGGTGATATTTGGTTTACGGAATGTTTTTGAAGGAATTAGAATATGTTAAGAAATTGGAATATGCTAGGAATTTGAATCAAATTCTATATTCTGTTTGGTTGGCGGGAATGAAATTTAAATCCAATTTCATATTATGTTTGGTTGGCATAAAATGAAACTGAAATAATATAAAATAACAAAATTGTCATTTTTTGTTTATTTTTACTTTGTTTTAAAACTTATATGTGAAAGTAGATTATATAAATTACAAAATTAGTAAATGATGGTGATGGTGGCAGTGATGTTGACGGTGACTATAGTGGTGATGATGTCTCAGAGGTGATGGCGGATAGTAGCGAAGGTAATGACAATAGTGGCGGTAGTAATTGTGATGGTGATGGTGACAATCATGAGTAGTGGTGGAGGTGGCAATGGTGGTAGTAACAGTGGTGGTGATGAAGGTGGTGGCGAAGGTGTTGGTGGCGGTGGTAGAGGTGATGGCAGTAGTGGTGGCGGTGATGGTATGATTGCGATGGTGAATGGTGGTAGAGGTGGAAGGTAGTGTGGTGGTATAGGTGGTGATGGTGGTGGTAATGGGTGGTTGTGGCGGTGGTGGGTGGTGGTGGTAGAGGTGGTATGTATCGGGTGGTGACAACGATGATATGTGGTGGTGGAGGTGGTGGTGGTAATAGCGGTGTTGGTAGCGGTAACAATGGTCGATGTTGGTGGAGGTGACGATGCTAGTGGGTGGAGGGTGGTGGTAGTGAAGGTACTAGTGGTGGTGATGGTAGGTGGCGGTGGAGGTGATGGTGGGTGGTGGTGGTGGTGGTGGTGGTGGTGGTGACAGATCAGTGGCGGAGCCAGAAATTTTGATACGGGGGAGCAAACACCATCAATATTCAAAACATTATACAATCCCTTTAGTCAGGGTTACAATAACTTAGATCATGTTTACAAATTAGTTATTTTATATATATAAAACAATTTTTTTGTGGATGTTGTAGTACCCCCAACGCCTCATGTAGCTCCACCACTGTGACAGATGGGTTTCATATATAGTGTTAAAATTAAAATGGGTAATATGGTAACATTCAACATTCTTATTTGAAATGAATTTTAATTCCTTAGGTTTTTTGATAGAATTTATTTTCTCTCGTTGAAAGGAAAATTTGACTCATTTAGGAATCAAATTCCTTTTGAAAGCTTGAACCAAACAAAGGAAAATGATAGAATTAGATTAAAATTCCTTTTAATTTCAATGGATTCCAGCAAACCAAACGACACGCAATGTTATTTTAGAACTGTAGGTTTGTATATTACCGCTCCATGGACATAGGCCCCGATTCACAACCCATGTATATGAGATTAGAGCTGGGAGGCATGAAATTACAGGTGAATAAGTGATTACTCACCTACGATTTGTGTGATTATTTTCGGAAAAAATGCTAATTTTGCGAAGTCATTAACGAATATGGTTGTTTTTATAAATTCTTCTTTTTTATAATTAATTTATGAACCAATAATTTATGGCTACCAAACAAGGGACAGATGATTTTACATAAGAGATTAATGTTTTGAGGCTCTAGTAGAGAGTCGCGGACCGGTGATTTTACATGAGAGATTAATGTTTTGAGGCTCTAGTAGATAGTCGCGTTATGCAGCGAGAACCCATTTATTATAATTAATTTAGGAATAACTCAATCTATTGTATTAAATTCTTACAAAAAAAATCATTGTATTTTTTTTGTATGTTTAAACCACTTTATCTTTTGAATTGCTTAAATTTAATTTAGGGCAAATCTCATAAAAACTTAATCTATTAGCATTAAATTCTTACAAAAAATCATTATATTTTTAGTACATTTAAACCATTTTATTTTTTGAATTGTTTAATTTAATGAGGTAACAAGCTAGCCTAAACCAAGGGCTTTCATTGATTATTTGGTCTTAAAATAAGTGACATCTAATAGTGATGTGGCGACATAAAATATGGTTGTATTGAGCATATCACAACTAATTAATAAGCTAGCTTATTTTTGAGTTTTTTAAATTGTCATGTTTAGCAAGTTGAAAAGTAGTCGATAAACTATTTTATAAGCTATTTTTTTCTAAATGCTACTTAGACTAGCTTTTCATTAGTTTTTTTTTTAAAAATTTCCCGAATACAACCTTAATTAATTATTAAAAGTATATATTTCTTTAAATGTCATTTTATATCTTCTAGCTATCTTATCAGTTTGTTTTTACCCAACGTTATTTTTTATCAGTTAGCCTTTTAGCTACCGGCTAGCTTTTCAGCTAGTCTGCCAAACATAACCTAAATATGTACAATGTATAAGAAATTTGCCCCTCCTACTCTAGTTCTTCTTGTTTTCGTAGAGCTTCTTAAACGGGTTTCCTCTCTTTTCCTTTTTCTTCTGTTTCAAGCTCCATAAACAAATTAGGTGTAGATGTGTTGACATACAAGGATGTGGACTTCACGAACCAAGGAAAACCTAGGCCACTTGTCATCGGTGCCTCCATTATTAGGTATATGAAATTCTTTTTTAAATTCTTGTTGTTTTTTGTAATGTTTAGTCACATTGTTCGTTTTTTCTGTAAAATCCTTCAAAAGATTGTATTTTTATGGATTGATGAGGATTTATGTGTTCAATTGTATAAAGACAATGTTGTTGATTTGGACAATGAGAAAATGAATGTGTACAAGGAAAATATGGTCTTGTCTAATGACAATATGAACCTTGAGAAGGAGAGCATTGACATGGAGAGGAAACTAATGAAACCTGAGATGCTGGACAAAAATAAAGGAGTGATTTCTTCATGGTTAATCTTCTATTATTTGTCATTGTTGTAATTTTCATATTCATTTGGTTTTTAATGATGAAATGTGCGAGTTACGTTTATGTAATTGAATTGGAATGGAATTTTAATATGGTCATATATCTATTATATCAATGTATTTTAATGTGATTTGATTATCAATAAGGATTGTACTTTTAGACATTTGAAGCCATTTATAGCAACATACTTAAATGGGCATTATAACATTAAGTTAAAATGGTTCAAAAAGAGCATTTTTGGACAAAAAAGGGTTGTTTTGGTAAGAGGTCAAATGGTTAAAAAAAAGTGAGTGTTTTGGCATCAAGTAAAAATGAAGCAAAATGAGTATTTTTAGAGCAACTTATAGCAACATACTTTCATATTTTTAAAACGACAAAAGCACACACCCTTTAATTCTACATCTTTTTCCACAACGCGACTTGAAACCACAACCACTTGGGGAGAAACACCTTTCTTGTACACCTTGATATCCCTAGTCCCAAATTCCTTTTGGTAATGCACTAACATAGTTCCATTTACGAGGCAATCTAACATGATGTAAAAATGATTCAAAAGAGCAAAATGGGACTATTTTGGCAAGGTCAGTGGTAAAAAAAGATTATTCTAGCAAGGTACTAGTCATTTTTTTCGGCCAACACCATCCATTTCCACCACAACTGCCATCATCCACCTCTAGCAGCACCACATTTCATCACCACAACCACCCATCACCACCTTTCACCACCACCACCACAAAGTAAGTAATCTAAAATCAACTTGAACCCACAACAAAATCGATTCAAACTCACATTCAAACCTATAAATTGATTTAACCCTCCAATTAGTTCAAATTAATATTAAAAAAGAAATGGGAGAGGTAGATGTGGTGGTAAGGTGGTTTTCACAAACTAGCAGGAGAAGCAGAAGAGCAGACAAAGATATGAGCATAGTAGGAGGGATGTTGGCTTTTTCATCAGAGAGGAGAAAATAGAGAATGTTCGCTTTGCAATGTTTTTAAAAAATGAACACGTAAATGGTGTTTTCTTTCTTCTTTAAAATCGTGTTTGTTAGAGAGTGGTCGGAAAATTGATGATAACCAGAAAAGACAAAAAATGATTAAATGTGTACAAAACTTAGTTTAATGATAGTTATTTTATAAAAATGTAAGTATAATTGTGTTTATTGAACAACATATATGAGTTTAATGATTTTTTTTTTTTTTTGAACAGGTACACCGGCTAGACCTACGATAGCCGGTCAAAATGGTATTTTTTAAAAAAAAAACAAATATAAGTTTAATGATAATTCATGTACCAAAAAAATAACCAAAAACGTACAAAAGTAACGCAGCCATTTTCCTATAAGCAAAACTAGAAAGCCGGTATATACCTAGATATAAAATTGAAGCGTACACTATACTATTGGTTTTAAACATCCATATATATATATATATATATATATATATATATATATATATATATATATATATATATATATATATATATATATATATATATATATATATATATATATATATTGTTATATGATAAGCTCCTTTGTTTCGTCATTTTGTGTAGCTAATAGTAGTGGAGACAAGTTGGAGTAAGGAGCTATCAAATGTGTAATTCTTAGATATCCTTTATATTAGAAAACATCAAATGTTTGATATGGATTAATCTTCTAATAAGCATTGGACCCTTATGTATCCCACCTAGCAGGTAATTGTATATCTTAATTACACATCTCACATGATACTACTATAATAAATTTTTGTGAGTCAACTCAAAGCCAAAGGTTACTGCAATAGATTAGTTATTTTTGGATTATCAAGATGACGACCGACACAGATTTTAGTCTTTTAGTCCTTTAGTTTTTGTAAGGGACAAAAGTCTGTCTTACAAACATCAAACAAGATGAGACAAAACATATATAATAAATATATTCGCCAACAATTTTAACATTAAACTGATTTCAACAAAAAAGAGAAAGATGCAGATTTCTATGAACAATATTAAAATATATTCACTACTCTAGACAAACAGTGTTTATTGAGATGATCAACACTTAATTAGTTGATCAATTTGAAAGATGATTACTTCATTTTACCTAATCCCAAGTTCCCATTGACCAAAGTATATTACTTGACCAAGACAAAAACACTAAGCATTAACATCCTACTTTTGTTCTAAACAAAGCTTCAGATTTAGCAAAAAGAACAATGGATTATGAATCAATTTCAACACTTAAAATCCTAAACTTGTACTATAATCATCATCAGATCTTCATAACCTGCAACAGCAAACACACCCATATGGCCTCAAATATTTATACTACTTGGGATTTGGGAGGTAACAAAGGAACAGGAGGCTTCATGAACTTGAGCTTCAACTCAATCTCCCCAGATTCCACTTCACAAAGCCTCAACCAAACATCTTGTACAACTTCACCCTTCACCCAATCAATCGAGCTTTCTGCAACTAAACAATTATCAGTCTCAGGGATCACCTTCCTCAATACTGTTCCTTCCTTTGAAACCCCTAAAATCTCCCTCAATCTTGCTGCTGTCACCAATGGCTGAATGTTCACATGAGCATGTCCCATCTTGTCATCAGCCTTGAAAACGTCTTTATCAAACACTTCCTGTCACAAAGCAAACGCATAATCTGTAAGAATATAAGCATATAAATGTGGAATGAAGTTTGGAGAATTCAGAATTTACCAAGTTTAGAACTTCAACAGGTTCTACAAGCGAGAAAGTCATCTCTTCATTCCAGACAGGATTCAAGCAACTGTTTACAACCTTCGTCTTTGCCGTCTGCACATTACATAGAACCAAATTACCCAAATGTTGGAGTTTGACGATGATTGAAAGCAGGTATGAATAACTGTATATTTGAAAGATAACCTGATTTCCGAATTTGACGATGACATAAGGATCACTGGTTTTGAAATCGCGGATTACAAGTTTCTTGCCTCGAACTACGATCACTTTTAAAATCCCAATTGGTTCTCCCATATATATGACCTGCAACTGCAAAAAGAAATATTGTGGAGCCCTAATTGGCTAATTGTACAAGCAGATGGAGTATTTGAAGTATGATATGCAGAGAATGCGAAAATATTAACAACAACGGAAGTTATCCAGAAATTAGCTTGGCTAAAATCAAGCTAATAAGAAAAGTGAAAAATCCATTGACTACATATGAGAAGAATATATAAAGAAGGATGATAGTCACCTGGTTTTAGCCTTTTAGGTCAGAATACGACTGGGTTTGGTTCTGCCCTCTTTCCTTTTTTGTTAGGAATGGGTTTTTAAGAAACGCTTTGTTTGATTGAGAAAGATGAAGCAAAGACGAAGGTCGTTCTACATTAGCAGCTTACAAGTTACAAGGTCTTAGTCGATGGAGGTACTGGTTATATCTGGAGTGTTTCAATGGAGTTTGACTGACACGTGTCTTACTTATGTCGCGGACCAAATCTAGTCAATGAATTGGAGGAGTAGTTTTCTGTTTAACTGTTGTAGGTCGTGTATGATGAGTCTAGACGTCGATTCTGACGAGGTCCAAAACAAATTGTTTGGTCATCACATTGACTGGTTTAATTTGATCGAAACCACCAATTATTCCAACCGGAAGAATCAATCCCGACAATTTATTAGACTAAATTAACGACCGAGATTTGATTAAAAACCAAAAAAAAAAAAAGAATGTGGTGGCACAACAATGATTTAGAAGGTAATCAAAAATTTATTTTGCACATGATTTTTTTTATATATTATACCAATAGATTTAGGAAAAATAACTTTGGCGTTTGTACTTATTTGATCAATTTTTTTTTTTTTTTTTTTTCAATATACTATCGAACTTGTTGTTTGCGTTCACCATAACCCTTTTGACCTGTGATAGCCTGTCAAAGGGTTATGGTGAACACAAAGAACAAGTTCGATGGTATATTGAGTAAAAAAAAAAGACCAAATGAAAACGAACTCAACAGTTGGTTACCCTCTTGAATCATTTTTCCTGAAAATTCAAATGAAATTAAAGTTGCAAAATTATCAAAGATTGTAACCTTCTTTGGCACGTATATGAAGAGCGTTTCAAAGGGGTAACCTTGTTAAAACATGGTCTACGTTATGCTTATTGTGGTTAGCTGTCAGCACCTCTCTGCAAAAGGATATGACTGTGTATGAGAGATATATTTATCAGCATAAACATTTATCTCAAGGTATATTATGCTGATGTATCTACAAAAGCAACATGATATTGTAGATATTGATATTGTATCTTATCCCATGAATTCGATCTTAAAGCTAAGTAAACTCAAAAATCACACCGTTTAACTCAAATACCCAATACCTATTATCATTAGTGAATCTGGATTACTAGCCTTCACACATGCCAATTTTGTTCTTTTTCTTCTACAAGCTACGACGTTTCTTCTCCATTCTCAATTTCTCGAACTTAAATCAGTGAATCTTTGATTAACGATCATGATTCTAGCCTCCTCCATTCTTAGCTTCTCCTGTTCTCCATAACAACATTATGATAACTCCTCACTTCTCATGATTTGTAGTTTTGTAGGCAAACTCCATTGTTCAAAAATCAAAACATTACAATCTATGAATACGATCGATTATTAGGCAACATTTTGATCTCTGAAGGAAAGATCGATTATTGTCATCTACTCATCTGATTATCTATTACTGAAGGTAAACTCCATCAGTCCATTATTCAAAAATTTCTGATGTTTCCCAAACTTAAAGCTCATTGTTACTGTGTTACGTTGCAATGATATTTTATATTTTCAGTTATACTTTGTGAATTATTCATTGGTAATTGATTACAAGTTTACAATATAGAATAATTGTATTCTCAATCCGTTTTCTCTTTATTTTTAGTTTTTTTTTTTTTTTTAGATTTGATCTTTCCAATTTCCATTATCTTGTATACTTCTATTCTCAAATCTCAAGGCAGCAAGCTACATGTATAATCCTAATTCCTAATCCATCTTGGTGATTGTTCAATGTTGATTGTAAAACACACACACGCACACACACACACACACACACACACACATATATATATATATATATATATATATAAAATTAACTCCGCCATTCTTAAAATTTTTTAGTTTATTAATGTCATTATGATACATAGAGAAAGGATGAAGGTTCATAACATTAAATATAATAAATGTAAAAAGATCCCAAATTGTTGATTTGCTTAGAGCCCCCAAACTTGTTGAGCCGTCCCTGTTAAGTCGCATAGCCCGATATGTTCCGCCGCCCCGTCCAGACATTTTACTTAATCAACTTTTGAAACGGTTGTAATCTTTTGCTTCTATCTTTTGTATGAAAAAACAAACACTTATATATTTAAACCACTATGTTCTTATTTCTATTCATTATCTATTAAATCTAGCTTCCTTTTGTCCTACAAAAGTGAGGTTTTTCATTTTCCCATCAAGTATTTAATGACCATTGAATTTAAAGCCATTGAATGTCAATATGATATGATATTTTACAATGACAAAGTTTCATCAATTTAAATGAAAAATAAAATTGTGATCTTATTCAACTATCAAATTAAACTTATAATTGTGGATGATGTTATAAACTAGCTTCTAATAACAAACATAGACTTAATTAAAATTCAAACCAAACAAACCGGATCATATATAATAACCTTTCTCCCCTACAATTAGATGCAGACTACTAGCTGCTACTTGATAGGTATGCCAACGGTTTACATACCTTGGCAATACAAAACAAAGCAAACCATTTAGAAAGAACTCCTGCTCTATAATTAATATCCTCTATGACTGAAAAAGAAGAAACAAACAAACATGCATCCATCATCATCATCATCATTGTCCCTGTCAACTGGCATGTATCTCGCCCTTACTCTTTATACTGAGCATATGGCTGGAATCCAGCGACAGAAGCAGCTCGCCTAGAAGGGCCACCGTTCGCTGTAGGATCATTCAAGAAACCAGCGATAGTAGCAGGGCCAAACAGTTGATCACGCATATGAAAAACAGGCGCAAAAGCATCGATGTTACCAAACGACATGGAATTAGCAGTATGATCAGCATTAACATTGTCTGTCTTCATAAGAGACTGACTTCCAGAGCCACGTTCGCCACCATCAAGCTCCCTATAGCGGTGGAGATAGATTGTCAAGGGTTCGATGTAATCATCAAATCCCAGTTTGTTCATTGCCCAAAGGACGTCTTCGGCTGTTATCGTCTTCCTCTGCTCACGCTGGCATCTGTCATTGGCTTCACTAGTCACAAAGCTGATGAACTCAGAAACACATTCTTGGATTGTTTCTTTAGCATCATCAGATATCTTGGCATGAGGAGGGAGGGACTTTCGCATGATGCGGATCACGTTTGCTATTGGCATGAACATATCTTGTTCTCGAACAAGGCATTCGTTGATGTTGTTGGTGGATTCCGGTTGTGGTTGCATCCAATTCCTTGCTCCTGATCACAATGCCCGATAATATGTCACCATTAATGAAACTAATATTCAAGTATTTCTTCATTTAAAAGCTATTTAACCAAACAAAGTAAATAAAAAAAAGGAAAACATACAAAACTTTGGTCATTTTTGTGGTTGTTTTTTTTGTTTTTTTTTAACATTTATAAATCTCAAAAGGCAAGGATTTTTGTTTGAAGCCCACGAAACAAAATAAAATTACAAAAAGTCAATAAAAAACAGAATATCAGATTTCTTTTAATAAAAATTAAAAATAGTTACGGTTCGTCCTATAAGATACTCTCTCAAACTTACAAAATAACAAGATTTCATTCTATATATTGTTTTATTATTGATTATTGATTAAATATATAAATATCTTAATAATTATAAAGAGAATTAGATCAAAATTATCAATGTGGAACTAACTTATTTTGTAGAGGCTTTATCTTTTAGATTGAAGATCTGATTTCAAATTCAGACATTGATAATTTCGTAGTATTAATTTCTAACCATCAACCTCACTGTTAAAAAAAAATCTACAAGCCTCTTAAAAGATAAAAAAACATTAGTAAGAAGGAAAAAAACAAACGTTTTTTTTACGGTTTAAGAAAAAAGTTGCTTGGAATTCTAAGTATGTTGGTAGATTTCATCTTATTTATTTTAATAATTAATGTTCTTAAAAATCCATTTTTTTTGCTAAAATAATAAAAATCGGAACACGCCAAATATAAATTATGTAGAAACTGAATTACTAGAACTAAAATTAGGAAATGGATCCCTAAACCAAAGCTACTTGTCAAGTACATAAAACTAAAAATAGAAATAAATATTAAAAAAATAAAAACACAAAAAGTAAGAGGTGTGTGGGGTCGCAGAGAGAGAGAGAGCATGAATGGGATGGATGCCATTTGTTTCCTCATATTTGTCTTTCTTTCTCCCAATCCAAACCATTTTCTATTTTTTCTTTTTCAACACAAAAGAAAACGTCTTCAAAAAATTTCATCATCCACTTAAATCCACCTTTCTAAAAGAGAAAGATATGTGTTTTGATGTCTAAATCGAAATAGGGTTTTTCCTTTTCTTCTCTGTATGTGTAATTATTAGTTATTATTAACATTATTAAAGATACATAACATCATTAGATTTTCAAAACAAAATCATAAACAGTTTAATTTGCAGTGTAACAACTAACAAACCAAACACGATAACCTAATTAACTAAAAATCTCTACATCGGATCAGATCAGAAGAAGAAGTTACATTTGGTTCATACCGAAAGAAACAAATCCACATCTACTTAAGCACTTCATCCAAGTAACAAAATAAACACAAAAAACTTCAAATTAATGCAATTGAAGCAAAAGGTGTCAAACAATTTTACCAAATGTTGAATGAGGATGGGGTCTTTGGTAGCCATGGAAACCTTCGCCATTCGCCATTCCCTCTTTCGCTCTCTTGTTAGACTTTAATTTTAGTACGAGTTGGAATTAATGAATGCAAGTGACATATAAAGATGAGAGGCGTGTTGATTTGGGAAAATGTGGACAATTATAATGATGACACGTGGTTGAGAGCACGCGGTGAACACCAATCATAAACACACTTCCCACACTCGTTCGATACATTAACTAGTTGGAATACATTATATTTTCATTGTCACCCTTCGATTTTCGATTAATTTATGCCATTTATTTTATTTTCTTATCATATAATTTCACATAATGTGATGTGGCACGATACATTACACACAAACTCATCTTCCATTCTAAGAAATATCAAACTATTCCCAAGTGGTTGAACTCCATGATTCAACGTACTTTTTTTATTTGTATTTTCAATGTCTTGATAATCAAGTTAAAATAAATGTCATTGTACTTTTGTATCTGTATTTTATTTTACTTATTTTGTTGCTAATTACAATTTGACAAAATTGCAAAAATGGTCCTTGTGGTATGCATTTTTTTGGGGTTTTGATCCACATCACGAGTTTTTTGGGTTGGTGGTCCTTTTGACTATGTTTGCTTGTAGTTTTGGTCCCTCGGAAAACAGAAAAGACTAAAATACCCTTTCTAATATATTTTATACATTTTTTTCTATTTAATTTAAAAGAAAAAGAAAAAAATAACTAATTTGGGCCCACCCTCTCTCTCTCTCTCTCTCATCGAAAGTTAATGACTAAAAAAAGAAACTGCAATTTTTCTTTTTCCTTCCTGATCAAACTTCCTAAACCCATTCACCACCTTCAACTCCATGTTTAGACCCACCAAAATTTCTTTTCCCACCTGTATTCTCATCATTAACACCACCACTACATCGTCACCCCTGTACCACCATTACCCCGCCATAGACCCACCACCGGTGACCTTCGACCACCGTGAAACACCCTCAATCACCCACCCTTCACGTTCTTTTTTTTCTTGTGTTCATTTCCTTCTTACACTGTTAAGCACAACAACCACCAAGAAGGGGTGGTGATGTTGTTGTAGTTGTGCCATCGAGAACCACCAGGAGCCGCCTCTAGCCTCCACAATTTGTTTTTCCCTTGGGCTACCAACGCAAACCACCATCACCACTACAATTGTTGCTGTCGGAAACACCTTCCCCGACCTCCTTCTCATTCCCAACTCATAGTTTTCGTAGAGCGGGAGCAAGAACGAAACGACAGGAGGTTACCGGGGCTCCATTACCCGCCTGCAACGCTAGCCCACTCTACCGTTACCACCCGCTCCCACCTTGGTCGCTGCCACTGTGAGGACTCCAACCATCACCAACCATTGATACGACCAACAAAGCAAAATCATAAAAGAATGGCAGTGCAAAGGAATTTACGGTGAAATGAGAGGCAGTAGGAGGTGGTCGGGCTCAACAACAACAAGGTGACAATGGCTGATGCTGTGATGATGGAAGGAGGCGACAACCTCCTGCTGTCGGTTTCTGTTGCTTTCTGATGAAGACGAAGATAAAGGGGGATGGAGGGGCCTCATAAGTAGCAACATAACAACAATGGAGGGTGGTGGAGGGGTTGTTTTTGGTGGTGGCAGCGGATGGTGACGAGGTGGGAAAGGGGTTCCGAGGGTAGCTTTTCCTTCAGTTCTTCTTCTTGTTTTCGAGATGGAATCGAAGAGGGAGGGTTGGGCTGGTGGTGATGTGTTGTGTATGTTACTGAGAGAGAGAGAGAGAGATAGAGAGAGAGAGAGAGAGCCTACTTTTATATTTATTAATAATAACAATTTAAAAAAGTAAAAGAAAAATAAAAACTAAATTCATTAAGGGTATAATAGTCATTTTAGTTTGGACAGGGACCAAAACTGCAAGCAAACTAGCTCAAAAGAACCACCAACCCAAAAAAACTCGTGGTTTGGACCAAAACCCCAAAAAAAATACATACCACAAGGACCATTTTTGCAATTTTATCTTACAATTTACTAAACAACTGTTTTTTCAAGAATCACTTTCTTAGTTTCTTTCATATGCTACTATGAGTCTATGACAATGTTAGTAGCCAATTTCTTTATACATATATATTTTATCACAATTATATTTGTACATGTGACACAGTTTGTAGGATCGGTCCAAATATATAGTGGATCTAGGGTGAAAAGAAAAAATGGACCTCTAAAGTTGAAAATAGAAAAAACCATTATAAAATTCACTTTAATATTAAAAAGCAAAAACATGGCAACAACATTATAACAACTAATTTAAAGAAAAAATATTATTTCTAGCATTTTTAAATAAGTTGATTTTTTTCACTCTATATATATACCATATACTTTAGGAATTTTGGGCCCTTAGAGACATGAGTCATAAACGACCACCCGGGTTGCCCACCTTTGAACACGGCCTGACAGTTTGCTTATGCGACATTTTAAATTGTTCGAATGGATGATAATGTGTATGTAAGCTACTATAAACAATTGGTCACATAAGTACGTTTTTAAAATCAAACTTATTTTCCTGAGTTAAGCATGAAGCATTTGTATTTGTATTTGTTCAACAAGTTTAAGGACCTATATAAATATTTGCAAAATATAAAAGGAATATTACGGATTGGATTGTCTCGGTACTTGGATCTTGATCTTGTCTTGATAAACTTGGGCTTTGTTGTGTTATCTAAAACTTGGGCCTGGGCTTGAGCTAATCGTTGGTGTAGACTATGGAATGATGTATAATTGTATATTCCTCAACAACCTAAAGGAAAAAAAAAAGAGGTTAATATATACGTAATTTGTTTTACGATTTTCCCATTGAAATAATATGAAAGTTTCAGAATAAGCGATTAATTATTATTAATTATTAATTAATAATTAATTAAAATCACAACATACGCAAAAATAGGTTATTCTACTAAAAACTCATATAAAATAATAAATAATAAATAATAAATAATAATAATAATAACAATAATAATAAAATAATAATAATCGTCACAGGACTGAGAGGAGGCAACGATTAGTAAATCGAATTTCACTATTATCCGGATGACGTAACGGCACTTGACGATTTGACCATCAACCGTCACAACGGGTCTGCTGCTAAAAACCGTTTTCCAACCGCCACATCCTGTTCCTATAAATACGTACACGTCCATGCATGCAAAAGATATACATACAGAGAGAGAAAGATCGTGAGGCAGAAAGTGGAACGCTTAAGCTCGTAATCGAAGAAGAAGACATGGAGGACATGGAGTATGGTTGGGGTGTCGGATCGGTGGTGGCCATGCTCTTTGTGGTGGGATGTCTGTTGTTCTTGCCACTGGTAATGGGGCCGGTGGCACCACCATCATTCCCGGTGCTTCTGATTGTTCCGGTGTTGTTGGCTGCGGTTCTCATCTTCCTCATCCATGCCTCCAAGCCTCATGATCATTGATTGATTGATTATCTAATATGTTAATGACTCTCTTCTCTATTATTATCTTTTAATGTTGTTGTCTATCGTACTTTGATTAATATATATGGTGTTTGGTTATCAAATCCGAGTTCCATCATCCATGCAGTGTTTACTTATTTATTTATTACTGTTCTTCATGCATTTCGATGATTAAATTATACATACATCAAGTATCAAAGGTAATGCATGAAAATATACATCCGAATTGTATCAAACCTGCGATATACAAACATTTACATTTTAATAATAACAAGAATTTCTACTCTTGTTTAAAAACATTCACATACAAATGATGTTGATCATCAATTTAATGGAGAAAACTAGAAGACCAAACTTCTTTTCAATGTTAAAATTCCTTTTAATCTCGTCTGATTCAAGTACAATTGTATAAAGCTGAGTTTTAACTCTTTTAAAACCTTAAAGCATTGGATGTAATATTAAGATGGCTTTCATTTAATACAACTGGATTCATGATACGACTAAACGCATGATAATGATTGCATTTCTACTTTTTGTGTACGATTGTTTTTCTAATCAAAGGCGAGTTATTTGTTGGATGTTTCTGAGTTTTGCTTAAATTTGACGGTTTGAAAACAAAATTAACTCATATATAATAAGGATGAGCATCGGAACCGGGTACCCGCTTTTGGAACCGGAACCGCCTCGGAACTGCCGGTTTTGGAACGGGAACCGCCTTAGGCGGTTCCGGTTCCGGTTTTCATTTTTTCAGAACCGCTACCCGCTGGGTACCCGCCAGAACCGGTTATATATATATATATATATATATATATATATATATATATATATATATATATATATATATAATTTTATATAAATGTGTGTTACTTAGATCGGTTTAGAATATATTGGTCCGATTATATCCGTCTTTGGTCCGAATTGATTTGATTTAGATCGAACTAAATTGCGGTTTTGTCGAAAAAAGTTAACAAAACTAATGCGACCGGGTTATCCGCTCCCGAAACCGGAACCGCTGGTTCCGGGACTGGTTCCAAAGATTTAAGAATTGCCTAGAGCGGTTCCGGTTCCGGTTCTAACTTTCTAGGAACCGCCGGTTCCGATTCCGGTTCCGGTTCTCGCCAAATGAGGCGGGTACCCGCCTACGCTCATCCCTAATATATAAGCGTATATCAGCACGTTAAGAAAAACAATGGACAAACATCATTTGGATTTCATTTTATTTTCATTTTTATAAGAACAAGTATTGAGAACTTTGATGGCCTCTATTCAAAATAGAAAAAAGAAAAAGGATTCCGGAGAGTAAAGCATTGAGATTTGTTGTTTGGGCATTGGGCTTGCAATCATTTGGATTTCAATTTCCAAGCCTAGTTAGAATCACAGAAATGTTATTCAGCCCAATTTTAGACTTTATATTTAGTTAATAATGATTACTTAGTTTAATAAATAAAATAAAAATTAAGATATTTTCTGTAAAAATAACTTAAAATTAGTCATCAAAACTTTCAAAATAAAAAATCAAATATCATAAACATTTTGGTTAATATAATTTATATTGTATTTTATTTTTATTTTTTTAAATACATATATGAAAATTT